CTCGGCGCGGAGGGGGCTCACCCTTGTACTTCTTGGCGCTGGGGATGCGGGTGAGCTTGGTGTCCACCTCGTCCTCCTCGGAGATCTTGAGGACCTGGGTGCGGTACTGCACCACCATGGTCAGCAGGTCGGGGCGGCGCGAGATCTCAAAGATGTGCTCGATGTACGACAGGTTGTCTGTGGGGACGGGGACCGGGACGGGGACACGTGCTGGGCCACCCACGCTGCATTGCAAAGTGTGCCCGAGGACGGGGAGCGAGGCAGGGGAGAGGGGATGGCGACAGGGGGAGGGCAGGGAGAGGCCGGGACAGGGGACAGGAGCTAGGGACAGGGAGCAGGCAGGGATGGAGACAGGGGACAACAATCCCTGGGGACAGGGACTAGGATGGGGACTGGAAGAGGGGACAAAGGAGAGGAACAAGGGCTGGGATGGGGACCAGAGCACGTGGCAGGGTCCAGGGTGGGGACCGAGGCAGGGGACAGGGAACAGGGACCGGGAGCAGGGCTGGCAACAGGTGACAGAGATGACGAGCAGGGACAGGGACTGGACCAGGAGAGGAGATGGGGACAGGGATGGGGACAGGGATGGGGGAAGGGGCCAGGGTAGGGGACCACAGGGGACAGGGACAGGCACAGGGATGGGGACCGGGGCAGGGGACAGGGATCAGGCAGGGGGACAAGGACAGGGACCGCTACAAGGGACTGTGATGGGGACCAGGACAGGGAGGAGGGGAGGGCCAAGGCCAGGGGGTCATGGACTGCGATGGGGATCAGGAGAGGGGACAGGGCCCAGGGATGGGACCAGACCCCAGGGGACGGGTGACGGGGACAGGGATCAGGAGAGGGGACAGGGACCAGGGCAGGGACCAGGGATGGAGACCAGGAAAGGAGACAGGAGACCGGGATGGGGACCAGACCGGGGGACAGAGAGGGAACAGGGCAGCGGCCAGGGCTGGGGACCAGGCGAGGGACAGGGATGGGGATGGGGGGGAACAGGGCCACCCCCAGGGGGGGTGTCTCACCTCTGTCCAGCTTGCTGTGCTTCTCCAGGAAGGCGAACCAGTGGTGGCTGGTGGCGATGGCCTCGCTCTCCTCGCTGGGGATGTCCTCCTTGCAGGCCGACTTCAGCTGCTCCAGGTCCTCGGCCGTGATGTTCTGGGCCAGCTCCTCCAGCAGACTGCGGTACTCGGCCATGGCTGGCACCACCCGCGTCACGAGCTGCCCGGCCTCAGCTGCTGCCCCCACACCCC